ACACAAATCCAAACAAAGAGCTGTCGTTTACAAAGAATAGATTTATTAGTGCGTTCAGCTGAGTAGGACTAAATACAACTTTACAAAGTAATTCATTTATTTATACATTTGTACCATTTACTGTTGTAGCTGAAACTTTGTCAGTTGACTTTTTCAAAGTATTCCTTGGATCCCGCTGGTGTTGGTTTGATCTGAAACACAAAGATATGAGATGAACTTTATTCTATCAGCTCTCCACTATTGTCTGTCTCACACAGACTGATGTACAATTAAATATCTTCAACCAGGCTACAGCCACACTTGCCACTAGTTTTACAATGAAAACAATCTTGGTCTAGACCAGTGTATTAGTGTCAAATCATTTCCATCCACCCTAACACACGCACCACATGACCACTCATACACTGGTCGTGTGTGCAGGTGTTAACAGGAAGCAGATTGTCGACTGCAGTTTGTTAAGTTGCAAAAAATACAAGTGAGGAATAGCAATTGTGTAAGGTACATGATTACTGATGGTAACTTAGCAACGCTTTGCATTCACCACTGGTAGTCGAGTTGTTACTATAAGACCAAAGAAGGGAACACAGGTGACTGTGACACTGTCTCTGCAGCATTTTCAAACCTAGGATGCAGTGTGTAGATAAAGTTTAAAGGATCCATTTTGAATTTGAAATGTTCTAGTGTAAAATTAAAGTACTTAAAAATTCTTTATTTTAAAAACCTGACTATAAAAGGACGGAGTGAGATGCATTAGTTGGAGACAGGTGCTAACTGGGACATTTATATCTTGATGGTGGATACATTGAAATGTGTAAATGTCCAGAGGGTGAATGAACTCACTGTTGGGGACTTAGGGGTCCAGCTGGCTGGACAAACTTCACCGTGCGTCTCCACGTACTGGAACGCCTTCACCAGACGAAGGGTCTCTTCTACACAGCGGCCCACCGGCAGGTCGTTGACACTCATGTGCTTCACCACACCGTTTGGATCAATGATGAACAAACCCCTGAATCACCACAACGACAAGAATGACAACTGATCAAGAATCTCTCTCGATGACAATTGTCAGAAAGTCAGAAACTAGACAGTGCTGGAGCAAACATGGTCTCAAGTAAAAGTGACATGGGACAGAAGTGCCAACCCACTGTGATGTCAGCCACTAGTTTGTGAGCTGCCATTTTGAAGCCTTAACTTTGACATTTTGTCCAGCGCCATCTTGGTTTATTGAAAACCAGCAGTGATCACATCTGGAGGAGCCTGACTGACGCCCGGGCCACACCGGCCAACGTCTTATGTTATCAGCTCAGAGCTGCCACACTGCCTGCTTGAGCAGAGCATCTGAGGAGTGTGAGCCATGCTGCTTTTCTACAGAGTCAAGGTCTCAGCTATTTTCTCCATATATATATATATAAAATATAATTATTTTCTACTCCTCCTGTACCCGTTTCTAAGTAAAATCACTCATTTTTTCATTAACTTCAATAGAAACTGACTTCTTTTTGCCACCAGAGGAGCTGCACTCTACTGGTCATTTGACAGAAAACAGGTTTAAGGCACTTCCCCACTGGCTCTACTTTTCAGACGTGGAGTCTGCGATCATTTTCATAAACCGTCTATGGATTTATCACATCTGTAAACTAATTGTTTGTCTGGTCTGTGGTTTATTTACTGCATCTCACCAGCAACTTTAATAGCTTCATATCACACACAACTGTAAATGAAATTCTGAATGATGTTAAATTCCAGACTACTGTAATAGGGGCTGCAGACTGATGTGTTGAACTGATGGACATACCTGAGTGCGATGCCCGGACCTTCCAGCAGAACTCCATAGTCTCTGGACACCTGCTTGTTGAGGTCTGACAGCAGAGGGATGTGGATGTGGCCCAAACCTCCAGTCTGACAAATCAGTAGTTGAATTATTTGTTACAAAGTATTGTCAAAACAACACACATGTAGTAGCGGCTGAGTTCGGATTAAAAGCGTACCTTGCGTGGAGTGTTGATCCACGCCAAGTGGGTGAAGTGGGAGTCCACGGACACACCCACCACCTCACAGTTGACGTCGTGGAACTCGTTGGCCTTGTCGCTGAAGGAAATGATCTCTGTTGGACAAACGAAGGTGCTGCAAACACACGAGACACAGAGAGACGAGGAAAAGGCTCCGTGAGTAAAATGGTCAGAAAATAACCACAGTTCACCTGCAGAGGAGTGAAATACTTTCATTCAGCCTCAGTAGAGCTACTTAACATGTACACACACTGATGAGCATTTAAATGAGCACCAAGCAGAGTAGGTGTGTTAGTCACTTCATCTCATGGTGAACATCTGAGAGTCACTACTCACAAATCCAGTGGATAGAAGAAGAGAACCAGGTATTTGCCCTTGAAATCGTCCAGGCTCATGTCCTTGAACTCCCCGTTGAGAACAGCTGTGCCCTTAAAAGCAGGAGCAGGCTGAGTGACAGCAGCAGCCCATCTGTAAGAGCCTGATGGAGACGAGTCCAGCACATTTATTCATACGCACAGTTTGCACGAGTCAACCAAGGCAATTCTTCCATTCTTCCTGTATCTTACTGCAAGATTGCACACATTGGTATCACAACTTTGGTTACATTATATTCATGTATATTAACGAGGCTAAACAGGATTAATATTGTGATTTTATTTCACAGATATAGTCTGAGGATCTAAGAGCAGAGCTTGACCTAAAAGTTCTATAATGTGGGATTTGGACGTACTGGTGGAGAGGCAGGCTCTCTGCAGGGAAGGAGCAGCGAGAGCTCGTGCAGCTCCAGAGACTCCATGTTGAGCTGCTGCTGCGACGTTCAGACGTCCAGCTGCAAACTTCGCCTGACAAAACAAAGAGTCATTGATCAGCCACGGGTTGAAAATATGCCACTTTATTGCAACTTGGGATTTTTAAAGTTCAATGTCGTCGCGTGTGTGTGTGTGTAATACAAATCTGACAACACTTTATGAATTCAAGGGTGTTTATTCCCTCGTGTTTGAACTACTTGAATTCCTTCTCCATTAAACAAAAACAGGTTTTTTTTCTGCTGCAGGCCAAACTGAAGCTGCTTTCAGACACGCACTGAACTCCACAGATATTCTGTGTTTTCTCAGGAGGACGTGCATGTGTGAACGCAAATGTGAGAGTGACAGGCTCCACAGTCTTAGGTGACTTTTTCCCTCAGGCCTTCTAGAATAAAGTCTGTAGAAATTCAGGGGAATTCGAAGCAGGGTATCTCCCGCGAGTCTGGGGGAGGGTTGATGACGATTGTTCTAATTAAGTTAATACGTCACTTCCTGTCTCTGTCTGCTGCACCATGCTGCTCCACCTCTCGCCTGAATAATGCAGAGATTTCTTGCTGCTGTGAACGTGCAGAGACTCCTGTTGTGTTGTGCATGTGGGAAACTGCGTAAATTCTACAGACTTTACCCACAGGTCATGATAAACAAAGGTCCTTTAAATGTCCTATATTGAAAACACAACAGGATTTGAAAACTAAATAATGAAAAAGCATGAATTACTTTCAGTCTCTTCCAGTGAATTGTCTTTTAATATAAGTTATGAAGAATTCATTTGAAATTATTTTTGTCATAATAAAACATTAACTCCAAGTCAATGTGCAGAAAGTGTCTAATTGATATTATCCTGCAGGAAATGAATCCTTATCACATTTTGATAAAACACACAGGCTTGAGTGAGAAGACTAATGTTGGCTGCGTTCCACTGAGCTGTGACAGTTACAGGATTATGTTCCGTTCACAGAACAGGTTTTAACCACTGACTATAAGGTTTTAACATCCGCACACTTCACAAGACAACTGTTTTTTGAGCAATCTACCTTTTTGCAATATTCAAGTGTACAATACACGTGTGCAGTATTTTAAAGTTATTCTATTTTGTACCTATTTACATTCATCTTTAACATTTGTCTCTCTGCATTGTGAACCAGAAGAATGACATTCAGTGTAAATGCGCACGTGTGTGATGTTTGGGTTGTGAATGACAGTGAAAGTCTGATCTGAAGCTGAAGTTTGAAACATAAAGTTGAGTGTCCTTGTTAACTGACTTTGCTTCTGATAAAGTTTTCATACAGCGACTTGAATCTATTGTCTACACGCACAGAACGGAACAAAGACCAACACATTAACAGTTACACAACATTTAAATCATGATCTCATCAATAACTCAATAACTCCCAACTCGTTCTTAGCTTTAAACTATGTTGTTCCTGGCATGTGTCTGTGACAGCGGCCGTGGACCAGAGGTTGGACCACAGTGTGAGTCCTGTCTCAGATCACCGATCGATCACTCATCGATACCCGCCATCGATACCAGTTCAATACCGGTGGATAAAGAGCCGAACTACAGGTGGACGATGTTTGTTAGTTTCACTCACAGAGCTCCGCAGCAGGCTTCTGATGGTGGCGGCCATTTTGGATTGTGTCAGAGGACGGCGGCGGTTAAAGCAGGTTGTTGCGTCATTTACGTACGTGTTCGACGTAGCTCAGGAAAATAGTAACTCGCTATAACGTCAAATATATTTGAGAATGAAACTTTCACAGTAGTTTAAGAAGTGGGACGAGTTATTAACAAGCTGTGATAAGCCTGATCATTCAAATAATAAAAAAAAAAAAACAAATGAATGAAGTAATTAAAGAATAGTAGGAAAAAGTCTATAGACGTATCCTTTAGTTTTTGTACAGCACTTTGTTCAGCTCTGATTGTTTTTTAATGTGCTTTATTCATATATTTGATTTGTCTGCTTCGTAGCTTTAAAACGCTCCTGTTACTTAAAGCAAATAAATATTTAGGCCCAAACTGTTTATCAGTTGTAGCATCAGCCATTAACATGCTGCTTGTGCTTTTAAAAACTGTTTTATTTATCGAACACCCACATACAAACACCAGCTATATAAATGTCTTCATGAGGATATATAGAGACTTTGTAGATGTGGTGGTTTAGTCTTATTGCCTCCGATATTTCTGATGCTCCTGAATGCAGCATGACTCCGACTGCAAGTGAACACGTGGTTGGACGCGGAAGTAGAACTTGACCTCAGAGGCATGATACAGTGTATCAGTGTAGTTTTCCATCATATATATATATATATTTAATGTTTGAGTAGTACATGCAGTATTTGCAGTGATGGATCCGAACCTGTTGTACTGGAAGAGCCAGGGTCAGGTGAGTGTGTGGACTATGAATGAAGGGGGGGTGCAGTTCCTCTGTTGTTTACACTGACCTGTTCTTCTTCAGTCTTTCCTCAGCCGAGTTCAGATCTGGTTCCGTCTCCTCGACCCCTCTGTGCTGCTCTGCTCAGATGTAAGTGACACACGCTCATGGGATCCTGATGGAGAAGCTGTGTGATGTTTAACCAGTGCTGCTGCTCTCCTCAGGCCCAGATACAGAGGGCTCACTCTCTGATGGGGGGCGAAGAGCGGAGGGGACAGGTCAGAGGATGTTTTAGCTGTCAGTGGTTGTCAGTGGTTCCTCTGTCAGCTTCATCGTCCTGACTGATTTGAACCTCTTTGTTCTGCAGGATGCAGCTGCACAGACCCTCGCTCTCGTAAGTGGAAACAACTCATCAATCTTATTTCAACAAATTAGAAGATTTAATTATTTTATTTATTTTAATTCTTATTATTAGTAGTAGTGGTATCATCAATTGTATTTGATTGATTAAACTATCCTGCTCTTTTTTCTCTTGCACTACTGTGTTGACACTTTTATAATGGCCCCTGTCTGTGGTGAGTTGGAGGGACTGGCTTTATGGGATTACTTGAATATGTTAATAATGAATCCTGTAAACTGCTCTTTTTTCTGATAATTCTACAAGAAAATACTTTGAGAATGAATCATAATTTGTATAACATCACCACTACAGTATTTACTAAGGCTTTAACACCACAGTGCTGTAGTGACAGCTGCTGTTTGGAAGAGTAAATAACCGTCATGTCTTTGGACATTTGAGCCACAAACACTTCAAATACTAACAGAACTGAAGTTCATGTGTCCAGTCTGTTTATGTCTTTGAATGTGTCCAGATGTTTTGTCTTCTTGAAGCTGTGTTGTCCAGATGTTGTGATGAAAATGTTTTCTCTCTGTTACCAGTCGTCCGTCCACGCTGGCTCCGGAGCCGTCCTTCCACTAGTTTTCCGTCCGGCAGGTACAGCAGAGTCGAGACTTTGACTTAATGATCTCCAGCCATAATAACAATCTCAAACAAAGTGATATAAACAAGTGTTTAAATTGTTCTTTCAAATGGAATAAATCTTGGTATTTCCTGTAATTAGGATCCACATGTTGATTCACTCACTTCTCTCATTTCCCTTCTAGCTTTGATGCCAGTATCTGCACCCTTGGTACGTGTGGCGTCTAATTAATATTCTATCATTCTACAAAGATTTCCTCCGTCCACACTTTGTTCTTGTTATTTTATTGGCTGTAAAACAAACTTTATTTATTTTTGCAGGTGGTTGCCAGTTTCTTACCTCACAGCAGCATTAAACCAGCTCTGTTTTGGCAGGTAAGGAAGCACATTCACCATATGAACACAAATGTATCACATGTGGCTGTTACATAATGATTCAAATGGATTCTTTCAGTTGTTGCTGCAGAGTTACAATGCTGGGTTCAACTATGCAAACAGAAATTCTTCATCGGAGCAGGTAATGAATCAGTGAGTAGTAAAAATACAACAGATCCCTGAATATGATCCGTTCTTTGTTTGAATCCTGCATTAATCTCCGGTCTGTCACCAGCAGAGTAAGACGTCTCTGAAGCAGCTTCTGTTGATCGCTGGAACTGTGTCGTACGCAACGTGTGCAGGGGTGTGTACGACCTGAGGTTCACACGATTCCAGTAAACTACAGTTCAGAGACTACTGTTCCTAATGTTTCTTCTGCTTCAGGCTCTTCCTCAAATTTTCATCAACCGTCTCGGTGTGAGGAGTGCACCCATCCAGACGTTCTTCAGGTCCTTATTACCAATCCCGCTCTCAGGTAACGTCTTTTTTTCTGAAACTTAAGTCGCCTCAGTTTTTAACTGCAGACGGCGTATTTTTAATTGGCAATTATTAAGTGATGCTTCACATTTCAACAACACTACACTCGAGAGCTTGTATTAAATTCCACATATCATGAGTCTGGAAAACAAATGTATATAGACTGAAACTGCACTGGTTGGTGGAGGCAAACCACCACAGGCTTTAATTCTAACGTGTGTGTCTCTTTCCAGCTGCTCTGGCCTTCTTCAGTGTCTCCACCATCAGAAGTGGGGAGACAGAAGCAGGGATCCAAGTGTTTGATTCTAATGGAAATCCTGTCGGCATCTCTAAAGCAGCAGGAGAAAAGGTTTTTAAAATGGTGCATATGGACAAAAATAAGCCTCATTTAAAACCTCTGGTGTTAATCTTTTCTTTTTGCTCAGGCTGTGAGGGAAACTGCGTTATCGAGAGCAGCACTGTTTGGTACGACCGCCGCTGTTCCGAATCTGCTCATTTTCCTTTTAAGCAGGTGAGTTACTGTGAGGTGTCGCTCTGTTGACCTGGAGGAAGCCACACGTTAGTAAAGCTTCACCAGAGCAGCTTTTCTTTACAGAACGAGACTTTTCCAGAGGAACACTCTGCTCATGGCTCCTTTCCGTCACATTAGCATCGCATTCATTCTGGGCCTGATGATCCCTTTGTCGTTCAGTCTCTATCCACAGCTGGGAACGGTAAGAATAGAATAGAAAACAACCGAATATAGATTAAAAAAAACACAATTTAAATTTTAATAAGTGCCATAGACCGTTTGTTTGATTCAGGATCCTCTCTCGGCTGTGTATTTGCTTTGCGATGAACTCGGTTGACGCTGACCTTGTTTTACAGATAAAGAAGGAAACGCTGGAGGAGGAACTACAGGCTGCAGCCGCCGACGGACACTTATTCTATCACAGAGGACTCTGAGCTGCAGTTGCACACAACAGATACTAAATTCACCACAATTAACTCGAAAGCTTGAAAATAAATGTCTCGTGCAGCTGAATATTTCCAATCCATGCAACAGACCGGACAATGAAATGCAGCCTTTTCTCAGATTCATGTGGAATATTCAGTTAAAAAACACATTTCAAGAAGCCAGACGACCATTTCTGATTGTAGATGTATTTAGTTAGAATGTTCAATGTTTTTAATCGATAGTAAATGTTTCACCAGCTCATGAAAATACATTTAGTTTTCAAACTTACATAAGCTTTTCTATGAATTGCACTCTGTGTCCTATCTGAAATACTGAGGCACAAAAATCATGATTTTGGCAACATGGAAGAAAATGTTGATGTCAACAGTAAGACAACATCTGTAATGAATTAATTTAAAAATAAAAATGTGAACAGACAAACAGTGTGATAGAAATCACTGTAAAATCTTTCTATTTTAGAAAACACTGTTTGAAAAAGCCTCATAACACAATCTGCTTCTATTTCAGTTGTGACACTACAGTCAACAAGAAGTGTGATGTTTGGGAGTACAGATGTGCACTGTGGTAGCAAACATCTGGACAGCTCTATCGATGTACTGGCTGAAGAACTACCACACACTTATTTGTGTCACCAGAACATTTGAGACAAATACTGTGGCTCCTGATTGTCCATCACTACTAATGTTAAAATGATAAAACTGTCATTATCTTATATTTATCTCTAAATCAACAAATACCATGAAAAGACCTGAATCAACTTTACGTAAGAAACGACTTCGACACACTGAAATGTCATGATTCCTTTAAAAACAATTCAATTTGAGTTAAACTTCTTAGAACATCTGGTCACTGTGGTTTTCACCCAGTGTGGCTCGTTCATTTGTTCTAATAGTTTGTCATCGACAATCAATAAGATAGAATCACACTGTGAAGATCTTGATTCTCTCATTTCATGGGATTTGTTGGCAGGAAGAAAATAAAACATTTTTAGAAGAATGTTGAGTCGTGTCTCGTATTAGCAACATTGCGAGTAAAAATGTGATGCTAGCGACACTTTCCTACCTCACATAAAGGTAACTGTGATAAACATCTTGTGCAAACTCTCGTGATAACGGCAGGAGTCTGAACAAGCCTTTTAGAAAACAGTATTTATCCCAACATGTACAAAAGATTCGAGCTGGAGTCAAAGCTGAAGAGTAACGTGATTCTGCAGCGTCTGAAAACAGGTTTATATCCGTAAGAGTTGCTCAGCAGCTGCCAAATGAAAAAGGAAGTTCTCTGTTGCTGGAGGAAAGTGATGCTGCTTCAAACCCTCCAGCGTGATTTTAGAGTCTTCACCCTCGTCTGCCAGGGCGACCAGGTTTGCGAGGATCTCTTTGGTCTTCACAGAGATGTCCTGGTCAGTAAAGTGTGGTCGTCATGTTGCATTCGACATTTCTCACAGTACAGAGACAGACATGTTAGTGTGTGTGTGTGTGTTCTCACCTTGATCACCTGACTGTCTGACCTCTCAGCGTCCTCCGCTGACTGGACGATGAGGAGACCAACCTCCTTGTGTAACTTCCCCATAGCCATGGCCTCTGTGGTGGGACACTGCTGCTGTTACTCTGTACCTCTCTCAGACACACATCACTTTAAACATACTGTACCTTTGGCATTCTGGGAAACTGTGATGACGCTGTCAGGGAGGTTCACGTACACGTCAAACAAGTCCGATCTGTTGCTCACTTCCGGATCCACAAATCCTGCAACATAACCTGTGAAGGAGACCAACATAAACAACGCATTTCTCCACCACGAGGTCACAGCGGTCGCAGCACATGCGGTGGCGTGATGAGCAAATGAACCAGGAGCAGCCTCACCGGGACATTTCTTTAAATCCTCCAGCTCGGTATCGGTCAGGTGCACGTACGGGTGCAGGATGGACCAGTCTTTCCTGTGCCACGTCAGAGCCGGCAGAACTCTGGAGGGGAAAAGATTAAGAGTTCGGACAGCGCTCTCTACCAACAAGATTTATATGTTTACACTTTTGACCCCAAAATCCTTTATTTAAGTCTCTAACTCACCTTGTAAACTCCAACAGCGCTTCAATACGAGGGTGATGGATGACGATCCTCTTCTTCAGCATGAGAGCGGTATACAGGATGATAGTCTCCATACCAAACTGAGACACCACATCTTAGGAGGAGTGGAGACAGAGGTAAACCGGATGAATCACTTCCATCCCCGAGGGAGATGGGTTGTGTTTGTAATACATTTGTATGAGTCACTTTAAATGTGAGTTTTTGTGTTTCCATTCAGCGTTAGATGAAAAAAGGACAGAGACTGAAACTTCCTATTTTCACTTTCTACTTCATATGACTAAGGAAAATGTCAAATCAGCTACAGGCTGCTGAATGAAATCCATTTTCTATTCAATCTTTAGCACCTACATTTACAGCTGAAACCGTTTAATTGTTCAATTATTTGATCACAGGAAGATTAATCACAACAATTAGACAAATCGTTTAAGCTATTTTCAAGCTAAAATTATGATAAATCACCTCCAGTTTGAAAGTACTAAAGCATCTTGTCACACATAACAAGATCTTTTTAAACATTGCCAGACAATTTAAAGATAAAACATTCACTCAATCACATCTGTAAGTAAAACAATAATTCAAATCATTGTTAGTCCCTCCTCCACCTACATTAACATGAAGTACTCCAGTGTAGCACCGGCTTACTTGAAGGTATTTTAAGGCTGCAACTAACTAACGAATCAATGACTGTGAAATTTTGAGAGTCATGAGACATCAAAAAGAAAAATATCTTTGTAACCAGTGAATGTTTGGTGTCTTTAGTGGAAATGACCGAGACAACTTATTAATTTCCAAAATAGCTGAATATTTTCTGTGGATCAACAAATCCTAATCTAAGATAGAACCATAAATGAAAGAAATCAGACAAAAATACTGATGACTGTCCTCCGTCTTACCTTTGATTGAACCAGCCAGGTACGCCTTCCGCACGTCGTAGTCCTTAATAAGAAACGAGCCATTTTCATCACTCTGACAGATTCCTTTAGTGAGAACAGTGAGGTACGCCTCCATCATCTTCACTGGGCTGCCATACTTGATGTACATCCTGGATAACATATGTAAACATACCATTCTGCTGGTTAAACGAACGATGATGTTGGAATTACCCATGAAATAGCCTGAGAACTTCCCTTTCCCACACACAATTACCTGCAGAGGATTCTACTGAGAGCAGCGTACTTCTCAGGGTTGAAGTCTTTTGCTGTAACAACTATGGAAAAATGAGTGACCTGCAAACAACAACAGAGTTTATCAACGGAGATTGAATGTGTTATCTACTTCATTAATTAAGCTGTTTGATATAGAAAGAGACAAAACAACTGCTTGGTCCGGATTCTTGAATGTGAGGGTTTGCTTCTTCTCTCAACTTTACATTATCTTAAATTTAATATATTTGTGAATACGACCGTTGGATTAAACAAAAAATCTAAAAACGTGTTAAGATTTTTCCCATTCTGACTCTACTTCTCCCAGAATGTACAAAGTTCTCAGTTAATATTATAATTATGGCCATCTTGTAATAATTATGTAATTAAAGTTGATAACAAAAAACATATACATATATTTTGTTAAAAATCTTGAACATACTGCTCTTGTCCCAACATATGATTTATAATACAAATGTCTGCCCAAATATAAAGAAATAAAAAAATAATAAACATTGTTTACCAACAAAAACAGAACAGAAATAGTGGTTTCAGCTCCAGATTCACTGTCCCTAGTTGAGAGTAGATGAGTAATAATGGAGGATTAATGTGTGAGTAATGATGCTCTACCTTTTTTAGTGCTGTGGGCTCCTGCACCTCCACTGTGGTGATGTAGTACCACATACGACAGAACTGACCAAACACAAAGGTGTGGAAGTCGCGGCCCTGCTGCGTCAGACAGCACTTACTGAGCAGGATCTGTCTCACGTCTGAGTCCACGGAGGGGAAGCACCACACCCACAGTGTGTCTCCATTCACATCTTTCTCTGTGCAGAGACAAAAGGATGATATTGTGTTAGAAGATGGACGGAGAACTAAACAGGCCTTCCCAGGACCTACAGCATGTGGGAGCTAATCTTCATCACATGACGGCTCAGCTAATTAACACAGGACAAACATTCATTCATTTCAGTCCACATATTCAATTTCCACAAGAAATGTGTTGCAAAACAACAGATCAACAGAAAACTAATAGAGCAAAACATAAAATAGGTCATTTAATGAAAAAGAGACATTAGATTAAAGTAATTAAAGCAAATTTATGTAATTATCACCTTATTTAAAAATAAAAAAAGACTTCCACACATTAGTTAATGTATTAACACATGGGACCAGCACAGGAGCTTGTATGTAATGTATTTTGATTGAAGATATCTTTGGTTTTGAGTGAAGGTTTTAGATGAATTCAGTTCTCGTTTCTATCTTAATTAAAAAACGATCAGCATGCAGGGGCAGTGAGCTGGAGAGGGACGAGGAGCTGTGCTGATGGGACACTGAGATCACACTGGACTCATGTGACTGAGGCTGCAGCTTCTTTAAGAAAAACACTTACCGATCAACCCGACGCTTAACATAAGCTGTGTTTCAGATGCTGCCATGTTCCATCCCTGAAAGAGTTCAGAGCCAGGTTAACACAGAGAGCAGGGAGCAGCTGACACACACTGACACACACACACACACACACACACACGTGACCGAGAGATACCTTGAGGGCTCCTGCTGAGTCCAGACACCAACACACGACCCGGGACAGAGGAGGACAGAGGAGGACAGTGGAGGACAGAGGAGGACAGTGGAGGACAGACAAGAGTTCAAACTGTCTCTGACACTTGGAGCTTGTTTCCGATGTCAACACACTTTCTCTTCCCTCTGTGAAACCTCTTCCTGCTTCCGGGACCGGAGAGTGGCGCGTGAGGAAGCGACACGCCGCTCACAGCCAATCACAGCGGGCGTTTCTCCAGGCCTGATGGTGCGTTCACGGTTGATGATGGAGTCATACAAATAGATCTCCAAAACTCGTACAATGTCAATAATCGAGTTAGAGTAAGTGTTTTACATGTTCGTGTCCTTGTATATATCTTTACTACAGCTTCACTGCGCATAGTTCAACTACATCTACATCAAGCATTCAT